CAAAAAAAAAAAAGGAATCATGCATATGAGATTAGACTCCATGTTTGTGTTTGAAAAACAGGATCACCGAAACCGAGTATCCAAATAAAGCCCCTCTCAAGAAAATGGAGTAAGTCGTCAATATCCAAACAACTTAGAGAAGAGCTTCCAGAATCACAAGCTCCAGTCACCATCCTTCTATCTAATAAAGAAATGACACAATCATCATCAACAGAAAAGCCGACGGAAAGGCTTAGTCATCCCCAAGAGGATCTTTGCCTACTCCGAAGGCAAAATAAAAAATATTACACTAAGACTCAGCACCGCCTCCACATGAGTCATCAAGCACATTTATACAAAGTTTCCATCACATTCCTCGAAGAAAATAAGGGGCTCAAAGGGAAAGAAAAACCCTTCATCCCCAACAGATAACCCAAAAAAGAGAAAAAGGGGTCATGGCAAAGAAAGACCAATAAAATTCCCAAGTGGATCACCCAAAAAGTCGAAAAGAAAATCTGGAATTAGAAATTCCATTTCCCCCGACGGAATAAGAGCTTCAGCTCACTTTAACATTGAACAAGGAGCGAAAAACTCCATCCCCTAGGGGGAAACCAAAATTTGATCCCCTAGGAAGTCAACCATTTTCCTAGTGGATCAACCAAAAAGAAAAACATATCCCTAGTGAGCCTACTACAAAGACAAATTCACATCCTCAGATAGTCGCTTGTCTGCGCATAGGAAAGACCCGGCAAGCAAAAAACCAGCATCCTCAAGTGGAACATTAGCCTATTCAGAGGCAAAACAGTGCAAACACTAAGTCTTCACTTCCGTTGAAACATCTGTTTACTCAGAGGCATTATCAAGAATCAATAAATCCCCAGCGGATTCCTGCCTACTTAAGAGGCATTCGTCAAAAATCTCTGGCCATCAACAAAAGTCGGATGGCTAATCAGAAAAACCAAAAAGAAGAGTCCCTGGCATACCGGATGACTACGCTAGAAAAGTAAAAAATAATCTCCAAACAAAGAACTACTCCCCACGGAGTCGGCGCATGATCAGGATCAGCAAGGCGCCACCACAGTGTGAATGGTCAGCCACCACAACAAAAGGGGCATCCGGAAGACAGAGTACTCATGAGCCAAATGATCGACTATCTCATAGAAGAAGCATCCTAAGATCAATCAAAGGATTAGCTCTGCAACAAAGGAACATCCTGAAGACAATATCTTCTTATGCATCGTTCGAAAGATCAGTTCCGCAGCAAAAGAGTATCCTGAAGACAAGATTTACATACATCATCCAAAGGATCAGCTCTACAGCAAAAGAGTATCCTAAAGACACAATCTATCTTTATCGCCTGAAGGGTCAGCTTCCGCAGCATGGGAGCAGCCTGAAGACAAAAGTCTATATACACCCACCGTCTGAAGGGTCAGCCCCTGCAGCGAAAGGGGCATTCGGAAGACAGACTTATCAACCAAGGGGTCAGTTACCGCATCAAAGGAACATCCTGAGGTTTCCTACTTGTCAGGTACGAGGTCAACTACTGCATCAAAGGAGCATCCTAAGGCTACATCACACCTGACCACGGGGTCGGCTACCATATTGAAAGAGCATCCTAGAGGTTCACACTCATCATCTAGAGGGTCAGCAACCACACTAAAGGAGCATCCGAAGGACAACCGGGCAAGAGGGTTAACTCCTTCACCCACCATCCGATCTTACAGTATTCGCCAGCAGCTGGTCCGGTAGGTGAAAGGGGGGCAGCTGTAGACCCCAAATCTTGCCCGACCAATTAGTAGATCTTAGAAATCCTCTATTTCAAAGATGATTAAGGCTTCATTAGGTCCCTAGTAGCATTCACTAGGCTCCATTTAAGAATAAAAGGGATTTTTGAGAAAATAAAAAATTTAGAAAAATAAGAAAAACTAGGATGGTCGTCCCACTTGTCATTTAGGTTGGGACGACCGTCCCACTTTCCTAAACGGTCGTCCCACCTTCATGCAACCTTGGGATGGTCGTCCCACCTTTTCTTGAGCCTAGGACGACTGTCCCATTCTCCCAGACGGTCGTCCCACCTGTCAGGAGCCCAGACGACCGTCTCGGCCTGCCTGGCGCGGATTCCTATAAATAGGGACTCATTTCTACTCATTTCCACACACTTCCACACTCTCCTATGCTCTGAGGACCTATTTTTGAGACTTCTAAGCAGCTCTGAGCATTATTCCAGAGTACGAGTAATCTTTTGACACTTTAGGAGTTTAGTTTAATTTTTGTTTGAGGGAGGAGCGTCTCTGTAGAGTGTGGGGACTGTAAAAAAAAGTCCTCAAGTGCAAAATTTATAAAAGCTTGCTTTGAAGGTTTTTCTTCATATCTCTTCTCTTTTACTGCTTTCCTTTTTTTGTGCATTAGTTATTAGAGCCATGTAGATAGTCATTTAAATATTGCAATGAATAAATAGGGTAGAAGCATAATTTTTAGTCTTTATTTTAAGATTATTCCATCATAGAGAACCTGAAAGGGGCGTTGTGGGGTGCTAATACCTTCCCCACACGTAACGAACTCCCTTACCCAACTCTGGTTATAATGGTCAAAGTTGGTTTTTCTTAAACCAACACCTTCTTTATTCTTTTTTCAATATTTATGGTAAAAATATTGATGCTGACTTCTGGACACATTTACGAAAATCTCGTTCTTAAGGATAGCTCAGTTATCAAACACCCTAAGAGCGATGACCACACTTTTTAAAACAAATGCGAGTCATCAAAACCATCGCGTCGCTTCGACCGCTTTTTATGGCAGCGAAAGTGACCAAAGTGTGTGGGTATCCTCCAAAGTCTCACATCAGGTAGTTTGAAGAAAATGAGTAGTAGACTTCTACTAGAAATAAGAAGTGATAGTTTGGGTCTACTCACCAGAACAATACTAGCCTTTCGGTGTATTGTGGACTTGGGTAGTTGTGTGTCAAGAGAGGGTTTGTAATTTTTTCATACGAAAATTGTATGAGAGGGTTTATAATTTTGTTCTTGTAAAAATTGTATGAAAGAGTTTGCAATTTTGTCCTTGTAAAAATTGTAAGTTGAGAAATGAAGAGTTGTTGAGTGTGTTAGTGGATGTATGGGAGAGTTTGCAATTTTGTCCTTATAAAAATTATGAGAGGGTTTGCAATTTTGTCGTTATAAAAATTGTAAGTTGAGAAATGAAGAGTTGTTGAATGTGTTAATGAATGTAGGTAAAAAGTGTTAAACCACGTTAATTTCTGAGTTTGATTCTCTATCTTTATTTCTCTCGTGTGTACTTCCGCAGGTTAAGATTTATTTTCCCTTATGGTATCCAATATTTTTCTATTTAAAACTCTAATTCGTCACGATTTTTTTTGTTAAAAAGTGTCTAAATATAAAAAAATAATAATATATATAAACTATTTTTAATCTCAAATCCTAACAATGTAAAACTATACCAAAACATTATAAATACACAAAACATTTAATTTTCCATTGCACAGATATACATAGAACAAGACACTTCTTAACTGAATGTCTAGTTTTAATGTCAAAGGTTTTCCAAAAAAATTCAATAAATAAATTTTGGTGGTGAGTCTACATTAGTCCCAAACATATTGATATAGAGTATTTTAGGATTATATATAATCAATTTTTAAATAAACTAAAATTATATTAGTCTACACTTTTATTTGACTACTTTAAAATGGTTCCATAAACAATACTAATTAAAAAATATATATTTTAAAATTTATAGTTAAATTTTAAATAATTTACTTAAAATAATAGTTAAGAATAGAAGTTAATAGATAAATTGATATATATATATATATATATATATATATATATATATATATATATATATATCAACATTCTACCATAGCATTTATTTGTGTGTTTGAACTGTCTTATTAACAAAATATATATATATATATATATATATATATATATATATATTAAATTTAACAAATTATTATATTTAATAATTTGAATATAATAAATTGTTAAAATTAATTATCCTATATCTACAATATTACGATTAATTACATTTTATATTGGTCTCATTTTGAATGTGATGTTAGGTAAAAAGACGACAAACAGGAGGATTGTCATGTTAAGTTTTCAGTGGAGTATTATGACTCCATTAATATCCATACTTCATATTAATGAGTAGAAAATAAGGAGTTAGAGAATTGAGATTATAATTTTTTGAAAGAAATTAATTATATTAAGGTTAATTAAGTAAAATTAGTACTCTTTATATATATATATATATATATATATATATATATATATATATATATATATATATATATATATATATTGTGTTTTCTTAGTCAGTCTGAAACCATGAAATAGATGGAGTAATATTATGTTTAATGAATTATGCAAAAGTATAAATTAATTAATAATTAATTACATTTTTATTTCATCAAATACGATAATTATACTCTGCGGTATATATTATATAAAGGAAAAATAATTAATTTATAATCGCACAATAAATAACATTAATATTTAATACATTATTATAACTTATCACATTAGATAATACAATAATGAATATATGTATTATATAAGGAAAGTATTAAATTAATTTCTTCATTTTAGTGCTCAAGTAGTAAATGACATTTTTTAACATATTTCTAAAATTAATTTCATTTTGTCTTTATTAAATACAATTATTAATATTGTAAAAGAACAATTAATTGATTTATATAAGTATAGTGAAGTGCACTTTAATTTGTAAATAACATTAAACTCGACATATAAATAATAATGAACACATCTCAACTAAATAGTCATCTCAAAAATTATGAATAACTTGTACACGTGTAATACTTTTATTGTACTCAAATATATATATATATATATATATATATATATATATATATATATATATATATATATATATATATATATATATATATATATATATATATATATATATATATCAGTATCCTTCAATTTTTGCTTTAGTTTGAAACTTCTAACAGAGAGAGAGTGAGTTTTGAGCGAGCGATGCCTCGTGGGACGCTTGAAGTTATATTAATAAGCGCAAAAAAGCTTCATAACAGTGATTTTTTCGGTAGGTAATGCAGATTCAATCGTACTTTAAGCTTACAAATTTTATGTTTCATATATTCAAATTCTTGCCTTCAATTCAATGGATCTTTTCCTAATTTTTTATTTCTGCATTTTAAGAATTCAAAAAGCAAGAGATTAAGAAATTAATGAAAGGGGTTGATCAGGTCTATATATATTTTATATGAGCAGGGAAAATGGATCCTTATGTGATTCTCACTTATCGCACACAGGAGCACCGAAGCAGTGTGGCCAAAGGTGTAGTTTATTTTGCCTTCTTCACCATTAATTTCTCAGTTGTGGCTTTAATATTTGAATAATTTGACTAATATTTGAACAATTGTATATAACTGATACTAATAATACTGAGTTACTGGTTTAACATGTAGTAGGTGCAGGATCTGAACCCCGTTGGAATGAAAGCTTTCTGTTCACTGTTTCTGGCAGTGTCTCTGAACTTAATCTGAGGCTAATGGACAAGGATACGTTTACTAGTGATGATTTCCTTGGCGAGACAAAGTGAGTATAAATTCTTCTTAACATAGCAGCAAGTTAATTACAGCGATAGAGATTTGATTCTGCTTTTATTTTATTGATTTCAGAATCAATTCATAAATCAGACTAAAAGCTTTAGCAGATTTTTTACTAGATAATATTTAAACTTGTCTATGAATATAAGCGTGATTGGAATAATGTGTATCATTCTTTTGTGGTATGGAAAAGATTCAAAGGTATAAAGAGATATAAAAAAGAAATGAGGTTATTGGTTTTTTTTTTCTCAATTAAATTTGTACATATTATAATACATTCATTTCATTATTTTAATGAATTTATAGTTTTGGTTCTATGAAATCTAGTTTAGTATCTGTCGTGATAATCATCTATTAAAAGTTATATATCTAGATGTATATTATCTATTTTCTGAAAATCTCATGTTAATCGGAATGCAATCAAATTATAATATATAAAATGAAACTAAATTTTGCTGAAAAACACAAAATTATGGTTTTATCTTATTGATTGATTCATTCGTTTTCTTAACTACTCGTGTGAAGTGATGAAATCATTGATAAGAAAAAAAAAAAAAAAACCTGCTAGGGCTTTTGAGAAACTAAAGTGCATTCACACATATGCAGAATTAATCTGGAACCAGTGTTAGCTGTGGGGAGCATTCCAGAAACTTGTTACAACGTTGTGAAGGACCAAAACTACTGTGGGGAGATTAAGGTGGCACTCATCTTCAATCCTGAGGTAAATTTATCAGTTTTTTGTAAAAGCTCTTTCTTTACCAAGCCCTAGTAGAGTTTTCCTTTACATTTAACAATTTTATATGATACAACTAGAGTTTTTCAAACATCCTCTTTTATTGTTCTTCACAATTGTCATGTGGTTGCAGTGGTGATAAATATGCTTAAATGAACTGTTTTTGTTGTAGCCCAATTAACCCATTTTGGAATTTCTGGTGGTGGCATGGTGAAGAATAAAAGCGTGGATGAAGGAGTCACAAAACTAGTAGCATGTTAAGTGACTAAATTTCTTGGACTTGGCTACAATTATGTTTTCCAATAATAAGTTGTTCAAAATTACAATAATTGGACTTTCTGTTGAAATGGTTTCTAGATTTTGTATTTTCAACTCAAATATTTCGTATTTTCAATTATTAAAATTCGCTTACCAACAATCATTCGTATTGTTAAACTTTTGGATTAGACTTGCTCAACAATGAAAATGATTACATGTCTAATATCATTATATGCATATTTCTTCCGTCAGGGTTAACACGGATTTAATTAAATTAAAGAAAATAAACATGCAAGATAATATAATTTTATTTTTAATATAAAATCTTAAGAAAGCATAATAATTTAACAGCCTAATAATTTAGTTTTGGCATTGAGATTTTTATAACAAAGCATAATAATTTAACAGCCTAAACATTCATCGATTTATGATAAATATAGGATATAGCGACAAGATATATAGAGAGTAAAAGTAGGAGACAAATTAAAATTTTTTGTAGTGGTCGCTAAATTGTTAAATTGACTATTTTATTTTTCATTCGCTAATAGTCAAAATCCATGAAATGCAATGTTAAGCAAAAAGAAAAAGCATGCATGTCATTCTTGTTTCTAAAATAATCATGAAACTAAGAACGTAATAAGAAGATTATAACTTATTATAACAATAATAAGATCATAATTGGCTAATGATTATAACACCAAACAAGATTATAAATATAACCATAATTGGCTAACCGAGTAGCCCAAGTATCTTTCTCTAAACGAGAAAAACATAGAGATAAAACAGAACTAATATCCATGCAAATTTTCCCAATGGTCAAGGAACCACATTGTTTCAAACATACGAAATTAAAAACCACTGAAATATAGAAAATGTCTTATGCTGAATAGAAATTTTTGAAAACCACTGGTCTAGTCATGATGGTAGGAAGCTTGGACCAGAACCACTTGAAAAACTCTTCCAAATTCTAACCATAAACGAATGCATTCTTGGATGTGTGCGACGATAAGTCTCTGAAGGTGGAGGCAAATGTGCAAGAGAGGTTATCTCATCCTCCCCCCAGATATCCTCTAAGGGTCCACCTGGTTGCCTGTCAGGATTAGTGTCATCACCATTGATGCACCTCAAGCACGATCTTTCATTACAGTACAACAGCTTTTTCACACTCGAGGGGTCCAAACGGTGTCGCAAATCCTCAATATCTAACATATAGGTTCCAGGCAGTGTTGTATCCATAATCACACAATGGCATATATTCAGCTTCTCCAAATGTTCCAAGGAATCGAGCGCACAGGTCAAAGCTTTCAAGCTCGTGGCTACGGTCCGAATGCTCAACATCTTTAACTTCGGGGTGTACTTAGTCATGGCCAAAGCATGCTTTTCTTCAAAGTTGCAACCCCGAGAAAATTTCATCTCTGTGATGTTGTTGCAGTATTTGCCAATTGATTGCAATAAGTAAAAAGCCGAGACACCGGAGGTAATGGTAATGGATTCAAGACAACTCCATGACTTCATTACGATGTCCAGTCCTGCTCTTGAGAAATCACCCGTTTGTGGTAGCACAACTCGTTTCAGTTTTGGGGTCCTACAAAAGATAAAGATACATATTATATGTACTAAGCATTTAACTTTGAGTTGTAAACATAGAATGGCTTTTGTTTTGTAGAGAAGATTGTATAATAATAACATATATATGCATGTACAAAAGATAACTCAGAATGAGAGAAACTTTACCTTTCTGCCACAATGAAGAACTGCTCGTTCGTTAAATAAACATAAAAGTTGAATATAAAGCAGGTTGTATTTCCATCGCTCAGACTAAGAATATGTTTCAAGAACTGAGTCATTTTCAAACTTGTGTGCCGATAAGCTCCAATTCTGTTGAGTTTCTTGAAACAGTAAGAGCCGAGTGTGGATAGATCAATCTTGCCCCAAAGAGACGGGTCATGACAAGCTTTGTTCCAGGCTTTGCAAACCAGGGAGGCAACTGCAACGTCCACAACGTTGAGGCATAGAAAGATCTTCACCAGAATCTCATTCATCAGATCATTCCTGTTCTGGTAAGTATTCTCCATTTTCTCACGTTTTCCTGCAAATATATGAAGTGTTTAATTACAGTCATTTCACCTTTTCATGAACAGGTAGCTACATATATTTGGTTATTTGATTTGATAATATATTTCTATGGAGACAAATATCAATTCCATTTTTTCTGAGTTGTAAAGATTCTAACGATATTTTAATAAAAGCTTCATTGAAGAAGTAACAAAATTTGCAGAAAGTAACAAATATGTTTCTATGAAGTAACAATTTGAAAGATTCTACAATAAAAGCTTCATTGAAGAGGTTCACTGTTTGATCTGAATCTCATTCATAAATGTATATTTCATATAATTTTAGCGCATTGCAGTAACAATATTTATCAAGAAACAAAAGAAGTCTACAATCTATCAAAAGATATATACTTCTAGAAATGTTCACAGGAATTTACTGTTTGAACTTGAATGCTGAATTAAAATATGGACTATCCCAGGAGTATAGGAGACCCAGAGAAAGATATGTTTTTTTTAGGTACTGAATACAAAAGACTCCTACAATTGTATATTTTTTGCAAAATAAATGGGAATTCATTTTTAAGATGTAATCAAGTATAGTAAAAAATTATTTATTTTTGCAATTTTTTTAAAATAATTATTTAAATTTGTAGGAGACTTATTTCTTATAAATTTTTATAAAAAAATTTCAAAAATATTTCCCGAGAATTTCTAATAAAACAACAAACAAAATTACAATACAAATTTGGAGCATAAATTTGAACGAGCACTACAACCTGGTCATGATAAAGTAAACAACATGCATTTTTGGAAGCACAAGAGATTATTCTTGAATAGATTTTCGTTTCAAGAAATTATAAAAACCTATTAGATTTGTGCATAGATAGTAATTGTGTACATAGTGAAGTCATTGGGTAAGAATCACACATTTTGATTTATGTTTTTTAATGATAAAATTATTTATTTATATATAGTTTGAATTATAATATAATAGACAAACAGAATGAATGAATATAACTAGTAGATTGAGATCATATAAAAAAAATATTTAAAAATGTCGTATAAAAATTAATTGTATATTATTTATGTGTTTATAAAAACTTATTTAAATATATTATAATTTTTCATAGACGCATCTCCATTTGACAAAGATGTCTTGGACTATATTAGATATATATAGACAACATATTTCATTAATTTATGTAATACTTTGGGATAGCTTACATGGTAGGACATTATAATTTATTTAGATTGCTTTAATGATTCAAGTAGAAGTAGTATTAGATATTATGTTTTATAGTTTATGATTTACTAACTCGTATATATACCTAATTTTAGTAGTGATGTACGAGTAATCTAACAAAACTTAATAAAATAATTTACCTAATTTTATATCATATGACTTCTCTAGAAACAAGGAGGGGTCTTTCATGTTTTCATTTTGTTTAACACTTTTTTTATTAGTTTTGATCTAGTCCTCCTGACAAAAAATCAAAATCTCTTTTGTTTTTCAATCAAAATCAAATTGGTTCAAAATTAGTGACTTAATACTTTTATAATGAATTCAATTTCACTTAATTGGTTTAATTTAGGTCAATTTTAAGATTGCCGATCAAAAAGTAAAAAAGAATTGAGAAATAAGAGTAAATTGGAAAAATAGGGTGGAAAACCAAAAAATTAAAAAAAAAATTATTTTGGTTAGGCAAAGTTAGTATTTTTCTCAAATTTCAACAAATATAGTACAGACAATAATTAAATAATAAAGAAGTAATTGACTAATAAAAGTAAAAAAAAAAAAAAAGTAGAAAGATTGCAAACCTGAAGAGCTTTGGATGGATTGTGAGAGCATAGCTAGTTGTAAGTGATGGAGAGAATGAACGAAATTTGGAGAAAGAATCAAAGAGGCTTGAACACATGAAAGTAAAACAAAATATTAAGTTAAAGCTTTTGAGTCAGAGAGTAGAAGAAAAAAAAATGTAAGAACGAAGAGAAGAGAGAACTCACGAATAAAATACTATCACAATATTGACCAATGGTAGAGAAGACTATGAAAATGATGATACAACACAGAGAATGTTATTTATTTTGGTAAGACAAAATTCTCAAGACTCACAAAAGAGGTATCTCAACTCATTTAGGTCTTTGGATTTTGTAGTCAAACTCTAACCCGACTTGATCCACAAAACTTATTAGGTCTAGTCAATTTTCTCAAAATGTTTTAGTCTATCTAATCCTGTCCAACGCTAATTTATATTAATTCCTTTTCATATAATAAAAATATTAGTAAATATTTTAATATATATATATAATAGATTATTTTAATAAAAAGTATTAATTAAATATTTAATATATTATTGATTATATAAATCGTTTTAACAAAGCATCAAATCATTTAATATTTTTAACATAATAACTTCAACTAATATATATTTTTTATTCATTAGACAAACGCGTGTAATAAATGTAATATTAATTAAAGGGTTTATTTAACAAAAATAATAAATGCAATTTAATATTTTTTTCACAAATGTTAAGGATATGAGTAATAAATATTTTTTTATTCATTTACACTACAAAAAAAAAAGTCTATTATCTACGGGAATATACGTGGGTAATTTCGCAGGTAAATTATATTAAACTAAAAGAATTGTAACTAGCAGAATCAAACACGAGTACCTTAAAGTTGGAAACCGATACTCCAACCACTAAGCTTATTAGGATATTCTAATAATAATTTACAAATAAATTATAGTTATATTTATTCGTGTAAATATATAAATATATAAATATATAAATACATAAATATATAAATACATAAATACATAAATATAAATATATAAATATAAATATAAATATATAAATACATAAATAAATAAATACATAAATACATAAATATATAAATATATAAATACATAAATACATAAATAGATAAATAGAAATATATAAATATAAATATAAATATATAAATATATCAAAATATAAATATATTTATATTTATATATTTTACATTTATATATTTTATATTTATATATATTTATATATTTACACGGATAAATATAAATATAATTTATTTGTAAATTATTATCAAAATATCACTAATAAGCTTAGTGGTTGGAGTATCGACCTCCAACTCTGTGTTTTTTTAGTGTTAAAGAATGAATATTATATTAATTAAAGGGTTTTATTTAATAAATGTAAGGTTTTATTTAATAAATGTAATTAATACAATTTAACATTGACTGTAACGTGTCTTAAAATAACTGACAAGTTGGTTTTATGTGTCCAAATTAGTGAAACTGAATTTTGTGTTTTGAAACCAATAAGTTAGTCTTAATTGTATCACAAGTTGGTATTTTTTTTTCTTAAATTATTTTTTCATCTTAGGTATATGTATTAAAATTATTTCGCTAAAAATTTATCGAACAAAACTTTACCTTTTATGGGTTTTGTTTTTTCTCCTTACACTATAATACAATTAGAAAATTTAATTTGTGATGAGATTTGTGACGAAATTTATATCGTTACGAATTATGACATTATAAATTTGTGGTATATTTTGGGGAAGATTTTGTGATTGAATATCAGTCAATTAGCGTAACAAATGCAATAATCTAATGTATCACTGAAACCCTGATCATAGATTCAATTCAAAGATAAGATTGTCTTAAATGGGTTTATTTTATTAACTATTATAATAAACTCGTTTCAAAATTCGTCACAAATTAAACTGAAAATATTTTAAATTCCATTTGGGAGAGATTGTTAAAAATATGATGTATCTTTTTTTATGATAGATATTCATCACAAATCAAATTTTAAAATAAAAAAATAATTTACATATTTTTAAATAATTTATTCCTATAATAGAATATAATATATTTTTTTAATCTGTAAATATTATATTATTATTTGATATGTTTTGTGTATTATGAACTAAATGATGATTCAACTAAAAAATATTAAGATTTATAAATATTATATTAATTAATAATTTTATAATATTATATTTATCTAAAAGTATTAATTATAAACATTTTAATTCCTTCAAACTCAATCGAATAGTTATATTCACTAAAAAATGTATTTTTAATTAGAAAACAATTATTTGAAACTAAAGATTTGTAATGAAGAATCATTTTGAATCAGAAATTAATTTTTAATTATAAAAAATCATTAAAATATTTAAGTCTTGATCTTTAGACCAAAAAATATAAATCATTCAAAAATTATATTAGTTTTTATATTTCTAATTTAATTACTATAATCCTTTTTATAAAATAATAATTAAGAGTGATGATTAACACAGATTTATTAAGGTTCAAGTGTAAAACTAATAGTTTTTAAACACCTCTAAGGAACTAAAAGTGACAATGATGATTGGCTAAACTCTAAGTGCTCTACTAATTCATTGAAAATGTTTTCTTTTTATATTAAATTCAAAGTATTATCAATAAATCTCTTTAAATTTAACCCAATTGATATATCCATTATAAATATATATTTAGTCTTAAAAATGATTTGAAATTAGTATTTGTTTATGAAGATTTATTTTCATTGAGAGATCAAGTTTTGATAGAAAACGAATATTTTTAAGTAAAAAAATCCTAAAAACATGAAAATTAATTTAAAACACAAGGAATATTTTTTAAAAAAGTTCAAGGAAAATATAGAAATTTATTTTTATATAAATTTGATAATGATAAGGTGATACATGTTTCAAATAAATATCGAATAAATTACTAAAGTTAGTATACAACATCCGAAATTTTGTATCTTAGGAAGAAAGACAAATTTAATATGGTTGTGAGATTAAATTTTGTACTACAATGATTTAAAAATGAAAATGAAAATAAAAATAACCAATAAAACTATGTATGGCTCTATCTATCTTATTATTTATATAAATATGGAGAGGAGAGTATAAAGTTCAAAATTTATATGAAGAATTATTTTTAAATTTATATATTTGTCTTAAATAATTTTATAGATACTAATAAATTTTGAGATAGCTAATTAAATTA